TTTTCAACTTAAGGACATGGTTTGGAAATTATGAGTTTTCAAATCTAGAAGGTTGTTCAACATATACTTCTTAAATAAAACTAGTTAGAAATGCACTTTTAACATCCATTTGATATAGTTTGAAATCCATTATAGATGCATAGGCAAGTAACATTTTAATGGCTTCTAGTCTAGCATCAGGTACATATGTTTCTTCATAATCTATACCTTTTTCTTGATTATATCATTTAACAACTGGTCTAGCTTTGTTTATTATAATTATACCATGTTTATTTAATATATTTCTAAATACCCATTTGGTTCCAATAATTGGATGATTATTTGGTCTAGGGACTAGTTTCCATACTTGATTTCTCTCAAATTGATTTAACTCTTCTTGCATAGCATTTATCCAATGTACATCATTTAAGGCTTTATCAATAATTTTTAACATCTATTTTAGAAACAAAAACCAAATTATTGCATGCTTCTTTGAGAGAGTATATAGTAGTTACCTCTTTTGATATGTCTACAATGATATTTTCAAGAGGATGATTTCTTGAGATTCTCCACTCTCTTTGAGGATTCATGTTTGAGTTTATCTTCTTGGATCATTGAATCCTCATTTTCTTCATCTTCATTGTCCTTTTGAGTTTGCTCATGAAAATGAATGTCTTTAAGCTTTCAATTCTTCCAATGCCAAGTATTTTTCCTTTGTTGTTGTCTCCATAGGTTACATGTCCACTTTTCTTAAGAGTAATGTCAATGAATTTTGAAGTATCTCCTATCATGTGCTTGGAACATCCACTATCAATGTACCAAGTTTGGTTTTTGGAATCCTTCAAGACAAAGAATGGATTGATTTTGGTACCCAAGTTTTCTTTGGGTCCTTAATGTTAGTTTTAACTAAAGAATCTTTTGGAATCCAAATCATATTCTTAAGATTGCTAATGTTCTTTCTAACATAGCATGTTGATATACTATGACCTTTCTTACCACAATAAAAACATGTTATAAAAAGAGAGGTAGAAACTTGAAAACTTGTAAAGAAATTCTTGTAATTCTTTTGTTGTTTTTGTGGGTTGTATCCTAATCCTACTTTGTCAAATCCACATCTTTGTTTTCCTAAAAGTATATCTAAATTATTTCTACCAATGGTAAATTTTGAAATGGTACTCCTTAAGTTGTTAATTTCTTCTTTAAATTCATGACATGATGTACATGGATGTGTAATGTTTGTAATTTCCAAGTTACTTGTAGAGCAATGATTTCCATTCTCAGAATTTAACATTATAACTTCTGATTTAATACTATCTATTTTTTCATTTAATTTTGAAATCTCTTTTTCCAAGTTTGAAATTGTTTTCTTATATGATGATACTAATTTTGCAAGTTCAACGGATTCTTTATGCAAATCATTGAATGCATCTTGAAGTTCATCAAATGAAATTGAGATATCATTGTTAGAAGATGTTACCTCTTCTTCGCTTTCGTAATCTTTGGCCATGAGTCCCAAATTTACAACTTCATCTTCAGAGTCACTTGTAGAATCCATGTCATTTTCTTCCCAAGTGATATAAGCTTTCTTCCCTTTCATTTCTTTGAAGCTTTTCTTGTTGGATTTTTCCATTTTTCTGGACGTTCTAATCTCAAATGTCCTGATTGATTACACTCATAACATTTTGGGGTTGAAGAAAAGTCTTCTCCCTTTCTCTTATTGTTGAAGTTGGATCTTTTTTGGTTTCCTTTGTTTCTAAGGAATTTGTTGAATTTCTTTATAAAGAGGCTGAAATCCTCATCATCCTCTAAATCATCTTCCTCAATATTTTCTTCTTTCTCATCTTCTTGAATAGATGATGATGTTTTGAGTGCTATCCTTTTCTTTCTTTTATCACTTTTGATGAGGTACTTCTTGAAGAAATCCTCATGAATGCTTCTTTAAACCTCTTCTCGGATCCTTGGAAGATTGGCAAGGACTTGAGGCAATGAAGAAGAGGCAAGTGTAACCAAGGTCACCTAACTATTTCGGATAGAAGGTGAGGAACCCTAACTCTACAAGGAGAAGATCTCAAGTAGGGTAGAAGAGAGGGTTCAAGGAGACTTTCGAAGGAAGAATTATCAAAGAGTATAATTCTCATATAATGATCCAAAAGTGACTAAAAGGTCCGGCCAAGGTGAATTTATAGGGAATGTAGTGTGATGGGCACGTCTAGCTTAACCTAAGGTTAAGTTAAACCATACCATGGTTTAACTTAACCTTAGGCGCCAAAATTTGAATATTCAAATTCAAATTTTGGTGCCAATCGGTCACCACCCCATGTGCACTCTCATTTGGATGTATATTGGTATCCATTTGAGTAGCATTTCGGTCACACCATGTGCATGTGTGCACATGGCCGAAATGCCTACTAAATTCCATATTAATTACATGCAAATGAACATGCACATGCTAACCTAAATTAACCCTAAATTCACATTGCCATGAAATGAAAATCCTAATCTAAGTGGCCGAAATACAAGGCCCAAAATGCAATACAAGCCCAAAGGCCCAAACCTAAATACTCCTAGTCTACTTGAGCTTGAGTCAAAGCCCAACTGAAAAGTGACCTCACATGACTCTTCCTCACTAGGTTGGTTGTTGAGGACTCTTCTCATCATAAGAAGTTTCCCATTGTAAGGATAAGTGACCTCTCATGACTCTTCCTCAATTGCTTCTTCTTCGGCTTCACTTGAAGATGGAGAAGTAGTAGCTTAATCTTGACTACTATAGATGTCTTGGCCCCTCAATATCATAACCTTCTTGTTAGGGCATTGAGAAGCAATGTGGCCTCTTCCAAGACATTTAAAGCACTTTATCTCACTAGACTTTGTGCTAGTGTGTGAGGTGTTTTTCTTTTCTTTTTCTTTTTCTTTTTCTTTACCCTTGTCTAAATTTTTGGAGGAGTCAAAAATATTTTTCTTTTCAAAAGTTTTACCCTTGCTCTTGTAGTCTTTCTTTGAATAAGAAGATGAGTATGAGCTTGTTTTGAAATTCTTTCTCAAATTTTGTTGTTCAACCTTGATACAAAGTTGAACCAAATCATTCAAATCTTTGTAAGGTAAAAGCTCAACCTTATCTCTTATTTCAAAAGTGAGACCACTCAAAAATCTAGCAATGGTAATATCCTCTTCCTCTCTTATTCCAACCCTCATTAAATATAACTCCATTGTTTGTCTATATTCCTCAACAGTCATATTTTTTTGATGGAGTCTTTGGAGCTTATTGATAAGCTCCCTAGTATAGTATGAGGAAATGTGTCTCCTTCTCAAAGCACTCCTTAACTCATTCCAATATTGAATTGGAGGGTCATTATGGAGGCGCCTATCCCTAACAAGGGATGTCCACCAATACATGGCGTGGCCTTGGAAACTCAAGGTGGCAAGAGATACTTTTCTTTCTTCACTCACTTGATGGCAAGTGAAGATTTGTTCAACCTTCGTTTCCCAATCAAGGTACCCCTCCACATCATCCTTTCCATGAAAGTAAGGGAGATCTACTCTAGATTCCTTAACTTTGGGGGTCCTATGGGTTCTTCTAGGAGGTTGTTGGAAATGATCTCCTAAGGCTAGGCTATCATCATGCATGGACTCTCCTAAGGTTGAACTATGAATTTGAGAACTATGCCTACTTCAGTGTTTATCGTGTAATTTTTCTTCTTTTTCCTTTAATAGACAAATTTCCTCTTCCAAAAGTGCAAGTTGGGCCTCTCTTTCAAGTTTTTCTGTAAGTCTATGTTTGGCCTCTTGCTCTTTCCAAATCTTTAGTGATCTTAATTCATGTGCTACTTTGGAAATGTCATTGTAGTCACTTGAATTACTACCACTATGAGGAGTAGAAAATTCTTCCATTATAGGTGAAAGTTGTTGTTTTATGAAAGAATTTTGGAAAGTAATTTTTGAAGGCTAAGATTAAGTACTTGGAGGACTAAGTATACAAATTGAACTTTGGAGGGAGGTGAGCTACTAAGAGCAACTTAATAACCAAGCTTCTTCAAGTAAAAATTACTAATCCCCCTTATAGTTAATCCTCACCTAAAACCTTTTTCAATGAAAATATTTTGTGATTTTTTATGTGATGATTAAGCTAGACGAATTTAAGAATTAAAGATAAGGTAAATTGCAAAATTTAAAAGCTATCTACACGGATTCCTAAGGTGAAAGCTTGAGAGGTACCAAAGACCAATCAAATACCACTTCCACCATGTCTAGCAAAAATTAGGGTTCTTAAGGAGAGATGGTTGTGTACCAAAGTCACTTCCAAGACACTCCAAAAATGGCCAATTACAATTAAAATAAATGCTGGACAGAAAAGTAAACAAGTGGCTTTCAACGAAACAAAAAAACAGCCACCGAGTTTAGTGATGGATTTAGAGACCACTTTTGTAAGGAAAACCAAATTAGTGATGAAAAATTAGTCTCTAAATCCGTCTCTAATATTCTATTTTTTTTAAATCAATACAAATTTGAAATCTCCAATGGATCTTCACGGCTTTGTAAGGTGCAGCAGCCACAAATTTTTTTCCAGAATTTTGAAGTGTTTGATGATGTGTTTAGTAGCCTTCCGAGAATGTGCTCCTTTATCACCTTTCCTCAACCCTATCTTAGTCCTCTTTTGATGACCCTTGTAGAACTAGTTTCTATTGAAATAGATTAGGTCAAAACTAGGTCACACTTTGAGTTCAATGTTAACACAAACAGCCAAGACAATTTAGAGATAACCAAGACAAGAGTAGAGTAGAAGAGTAGACAATTTAGATGAACAAAGAAAATGATAAGGCTAGCACAAGAAAGAATGATCTTAGATAGGTTCTAGAATTTTAGGATGACAAATCAAAAACACTCAAAAAATTCAAGCTGAAAATGTATGTTACTCCATGTCGCC